TACTATGTGAGTAGGAGATACAGAAGGTAGGAGTCAACCGGACAGGAAAGAGGAAAAATGTGAAATACCACAATGCTATTATTTTGTAAATTTTCATTCTTCTGGTTAAATCACAAATTTAGTCAGATTTTAGGTGGCATTTTTCTTATGCTACTCGGGTTCCTATGGATGTACACAATGCCACTACTGAGTTGTGGTCTGGTGATAGAAGGTTCCAGATGATGTTTGGAAACTTGCAGGAGTAGTTTTATCAAAACTCTTTTTTTTTTGTAAATTTAAACTTATGATATGCTTGGTTCATTGAATATTGGTGAAACAAAGGAGGAATGTAATTGCTATTAACTTGTATTACATTGTTCGGTTTACTGTTTGCACAATGAATAAGAATTAAGTGTAACATTCAACTACCTTTATTCTGTAAAATGTTCGTAGCATCTTCTTTTGATTCTTATTCTGTAAAAAAAAAATAAGAATGGGATTACAAATTTGCAGCGCGGTGGCCTGGCAGCTGAGACACCTTGGTTGCTTTGGATGCAGGACACTTATGGCAGCAACTCACTTTTTTCTTTTCTTTTTCTTTGTTTGTCTTCTATGTTTTAAAATTTTTATGTTTGTATTGTATAAAAAAATATAGATTTTATTGTATTACCATTCTTATTAGAAAAAGGAAAACTATTTTATTCTTTTACAACCGAACAATGTAATTATTGCTCTACATATGAGCCAAATAAGGGACTACAAGAAAAAACAATGTAAATCCTTAATTTTTAGAGTAAACATTTTTATTCCAGTCACGACTTTTCTTTGTTTTTCCAAACTAGTATTTGAATGATTTAAGTGATTTTAAGCAAATAACAACTCAAAATCAGCACTTGAATGCTTTGAGATATTTTAAGCACGTACTGCTTTTAAGTGTTTTTGCTTTAGCAATATTAAACACTTCAAATTAGGTAATTAAGAAAAGTTTTAGATTTTTTAAATTTAATTAGTTGAGATACTAACTAAACTTAAAAAATCTAAAATTACATTATTTTATTAAATATCTTAGATATAATGAAGCATAAACCTTTTTTTTTTAAAAAAAATCATTCATTATATCATTAAGATATCTATTGTTTGAGAGACTATCTATTCTATATGTGTTTCAAAAAAATTAAGGTATGTTTATTTATTTTTTTTACCTCTAAACCTTAAGAAGAACAAGCCCCCAACGAATTTTTCTTGACAATGAATGTTGTCATCTTCACTCTCGTTACTGTTATCACTTCTATCCAATCACTCATCTCTTGTTAAATTTCTTTCATTGTTTTACTATTTATATTGTCGCTGACACATCTTTATTATTGTACTACCACTACTATCCTACTATTATTATTGTTATCATCGTTGTAACTACTATTGTTGTTATTTTTACAATTTTAATCATTACCCTTAGGTCGTTATTATTTCGATCATCACTACTGCTACTATTCTCATAATTGTTAATACTACCAACACCATACGTAGTTAAAAGTTTTGCGATTTTTTCTTTTCCGTAGTATTTTTGTTCTACATAAAGAATTTATCACCAATAAATTTCTTTACTTGAAACTATTAGATTAAAGAGTTTTATGATAATTTTTTCTTTTAACTTTATTTTATAGATATAGGTTTTGACATTGTCTTTCTTATGGAAATACAACTATAAGTTCTTACATAGGGTCTATTTATAATCATTTTGGATCGTTAGATTTTAACTTTGGGTATGAAGGAGTTGGAAGGGACATGATAGGTGCTTTATACATCATGCCGAAAGGAATCTTACAGTCTGAGGCTCATCTCGTCCTTACTTCACTATGAGGATATGAGAGTCCTTCACTTTGATATTGTCCTAAAAATTCACGAATATTGATGGCTGAAAGATAAAATAAACACCTACCCTCGGAACTATTCATTTATTTTTATTCAAATAGCTTTAATTAGTGAGTTCAATGAGACTGTCTTCCATTATGTTTAAGTTAAGAGATTTCTATAAAAGTAAATCAAATATGTGGTTTTTAACTTTTTTTTTTTTTTTTTTTTTTTACAAAAAATAAAGTGAAAATTTCAATTTGAATACAAGTGATTGTGGATTTCATAACAAGACAAATTGAAGAAGAAGAAAAAAGAACAACATTAAGAGATAAAGAATGCACAAGAGAATTGGTTGACCAAAGAAGATAAGGTTGTCGAGGTTCTCACCAAGTACTTTAAGACAGCATTTGACTCTTCACATCCTCGAGAATTTGAGATGGTTTTGAATGTTGTCCATGCCAAAGTAAGGGTTGATAGAGATGCACAATTAATGATAACCCCTACAATAATGAAGAAGTTGATCAAATCTTTCCCATCAAAGCTCCTATTCCCAGTAATATGACTGTCCTCTTTTTCCAAAAAAGTTGGTGTATTGTAGGTCATCAAGTGTTTGCTTTTGTTCCACATGCTCCTAATAATAATGATATTCATATAAAATTTAGAGAAATTATGTCTCCCAACGACTTTAGGCAAAATTAATCTCCATATGTAAGATTACCTCGACATGCTTTGTAAATAGGTAAAAAGATTGATTATCCTGCCAGTCAATAATTGCACTTTAAATTCTTCCATTACTTTACAAACGGATTGTGAATTACAAATGAATAAAGCATATGATCTCACTCATCATATGTAGTTAATTTTTATGTGTATGTATACATTCATGTGTTTAGAAAAGTCTTCTCAAGCAGGGTTGGACAATAACATTCATGTGCCGCTGCTTAAATATTTTACATATGTATATTTTTGCTCAAGATTTTTCTACTACGTAGGCAAGAACAATCCTAAAAAGTGAGAGTTGACATTTTCTCTACGAGTATGTATTCAATACAATTATTTTAACAGTATCAGACATTCAACAAACTGGCAGACTCATCACATCAAACCATAAGTCAACATTAATTCAACCCCTTCTTCTTTTGTCTTGAATGAAAAGTAAATAAATAAAGAAAGAAAGAGAAGTTGACAATTTCAAATTGAGAGTGAAGTTCTTTTAATTGATGGATTTGGGCACATGAGAAGAATTAGACGGTCTCCAAAATCCTAATCACCATGTTTACGACCTAATAATGAATTGTTTTTACTTGCAAGTCTTGACTTTTGACCCACCATTTCTGGTAAACAATTAGGGTTTTTGCTTTTAAATTAAAATCACTAATCAGGATTTGTATTCCTGATGAAAAGTTTAAGTTTAGTGTCAATGAATCTGGATTCTTGAAGCATTAATTAATTTCATTTCAAAAGGAAAAGCCAATTAATTAATATTAAGTAACAATTCTGGATTTGTTTATGTTTATATGCTTGAACTTGCAGGGGCCGCCGCCATCATCATCTCTTTCGTCATTTAATCCTTTACTGATGCCAATAGAATATTCGTTTTTCCAGAACTTCTTCAGCATTATAATTTCTTTATTTTTTTTTTTTCCAAATTTATCAAAAAAGATTGATCATTTGATAAGGTGACGAGTGCAACGACTGTATAAGAGAATATTGAATTGATTATTTTTTCTTTCTTTATTGATTAAAAAACTCTAACTTAAATTTAATTTCAAGTTTTATTTATAAATACAATACAAAATAAATAATTTTTTTAAAATAATAAAAAAAAACTTAATTTAAATTCAATTCTATTTATACTTCAAAAACTATGTTTTTGTTTACTCTTTTAATAATCAAAAATATTATTAACTTAAAAGTTATTTTTTGGAAGAGTCACAAAATTTCATATTCTAAAAGAGTTGTTAATAATTAAATAAAAAATTATTTTATTTTTTAAAATTTTGGAAAGTACACTAGTATTTTTATTAAGAATTATATGTAATATTTTTAGCTCTAGTGAGTATCAGAATATCTTTTTCTATTAAAGAAATTGACATAACATATTTTATCTTTTATTTTATAGAAAAAAAAATGTAAA